ACTCTGACCTTAAAGACTCCCTCTGTGTTTGACTTTGATTTGCCCTTCTGTTAAAGTGATTTTGGAACACTTGCGTCTGAGATGGAGGAGCCTTTCAGAATCCAGAGAGGAGTCTGCAAATAAGTAATATTATCTGGTTTGTTTGTATGTTTGTTTGTTTAAACTCCCCCTATTTTGGGGGGTGCCAATTTAAGAAAATGGGGGGGGGAGACTATCCATGTTTAAGATGAGCCCAGATTTTGAACATCATTTTAGAGTAAAAAAAACATAGTCTTATACAAGAAGGTGTCTCTAAGTTGCAAGCTACTCTGGAAAACTCTGGTTCTTTTTCCAGTAAAATAGGTCAAGGGGGAAAACTTAAAATCCATCAGATTTGGTAGTGTGAAAAAAAAAGGGAGTTCATATTATTTTATTGCCATCGATTTATTAATCGCCTTCTAAACAGCCGCCTCAAGGCGATGTTCACTGAAGAGGATTAAAAACATATAAAAAAGCAGCACATACATTTAAAATGAAACTAAAACCATAAAAAGTGGACACTCATATATAAAAACAATTTCTAAATCCATTATAGATGCACATTCTATGCTGAAAAGGCTTGTTGAAAAGGAAGGTCTTTAATATGCACCAAAGAGACAGCAGAGGGGATGCCTATCTTGATATCTAACAGGAAGGAGTTCCAGAGAGTATGTGCTTGTCTCCCTGAAGGCCTGAGTCCACTACACTGTACGGAATGGACCTCCTGATAAGACGTCCTCTTCATAAAATGAAAAAAGGATAAAACTTTTCAGAGAGCGAAACCTTTTCTGTCTCCATCCATCCTCATGGTGGAGACCAACATATTGCTCCCAATATCTTGAGAGTTAAAGCGGGCGGGGAAATAGGTGTAAAATTATGCTAAGAATGACCACATTAGGTATTGCTACTGTCGCATCTACTGCGGACCTTAAAGGAGTCGAAAATAAAGAACTGGAGTTATCCATGTGCTGTTTAGCATATTATTTGCTCTGGTTCCTGCTGCTTTTGCATTAATGGCAGGGTTGTGGAAGGAATGCTAATGAAAGGCTGGCTTAGGGAGTATTAAGTGTCATTAAATAAGAGCTGGCAATTGCTTGTAAAACATCTTGGGAACTATTACATTTCTGAATATTAGAGTGAGGGACAGTTGGACTGAATAATCTGTTGTCACATCGACACTGTTTAGAGCCCCCAAGCTGGAAAGAAAGCTCCCTCCCCACCCCGCTTAAAACTATCTGCTCGCAGTCAGGTCAATATTTGGCAAATGCTAATTGCTCAGGTGTTGCTTGTGATCTGTCTCAGCAATAACAGCCTCCAGTTGTCTGTTTTGTGCTACTTTGTTGATCTGAATAAAGACCAGCTGGAGAACTGCCTGAGACAAGGCAAGCAGTTAACAACTAAGTGATCATTAGTTTGTTCCTTTTAAGAGAGAAACACCCGGCTTTCTGAAATGTTAAAAACCATGCTAATAACTTCTTGATCCCCCCCCCTTTGAATTTGAAAGTATATTGAAGTGTTACTCTGTTTTGTTGTTTTGGTTTTTTATAATATAGCTTGGGAAACAGTGTGTTTTAACAGATGGACCTACCGATTTAGAAAATGTAAGATAGCCAGGTATTAATAGAAACTGAATGACAACATATTCTGCATATGTTCAGAATTGGTTGCATATCCATTTAAAAAGGTAAAGGACCCCTGACAGTTAACTCCAGTCGCGAACGACTCTGGAGTTGCGGCGTTCATCTCACTTTACTGGCCGAGGGAGCCAATGATTGTCCTCAGACAGTTTTTCGGAGTCATGTGGCCAGCATGACTAAGCCGCTTGTGGCGAAACCAGAGCAGCACACGGAAACGCCGTTTACTTTCCCACCTGAGCGGTACCTATTTATCTGCTTGCACTTTTGACGTGCTTTTGAACTACTAGGTTGGCAGGAGCTGGGACTGAACAACGGGAGCTCACCCCGTTGCGGGGATTCGAACCACCGACCTTCCGATTGGCAAGCCCCAGGCTCAGTGGTTTAGATCACAGCTCCACCCGTGTCCCCTCTGCATATCCATTTAGGTTTTACTAAATTAACAGAGAGGGGAAATAACATAATGGTAGAATGTTTTATTACAGAGTAGCTCTACTACCACTTTGCAATATTATTTGTCGTCTCTTGGAGATGAGAACATGGTGGATGGAAGATGAGTGTTAGGAAATTTGAAAGTGAAGGATGCCACAAGTTTAGGTTACTTACAGGAGCATTACAAACATGTCTGTAAATGTAGCATGAAGGCTGGCAAATTCAACCTCACCATGTGGGAATCCCTTACAGATGACTGTGGCACATGGATACAGGCAGTCAGGTCATATATCTACAGCAGTGACTAGAGAACAAATAACCGCAGGGAGCAGTGCAGAAAGAAGTAACACCATGGTGCATCTGCGTCAGCACAAGTGGATGCCTTCATCTGCCCCAGCTGCAACAAAACATACCTCTCCCATATCAGGCTGTACAGCCACAGCAGGCGCTGCAACTCTCCAGTGGTTTGACTTCACCCCCAAAGCTGCCCTCCTCCATTGTCTCCCAAGGCAGATGGATGCCTGCCTCCCAACCAACCAAGCAATCACCAAATCTGCATTCGGAGCACTTTTACATGACATGAACTCCCGTTGCTTTCTCAGAAAAAAACTCCGTGGTTTTGTTTTGCTTTTTGGTATTTTATTTTTAAAGTCCTGGTACCTTTATTAAGAGATGCAGAGGGGTGGGAAATTGCACAGACACACCTCAAGAGACAGCTAGGAAATAACTCTGGTGAAATATTGGGTTTGTATGTTTTTGCAAAAATGCAGGAAATTATGAAAAATAGATGCCGTAAATTGCTTTAGTCACAGTAAGTTGCTACTGATGTTCCTATTTGATGCAATAACTTATTCTCCTATTCGGAAAGTTCTGCTTATTAATTTTATTGCTACTTCTATGCAAGCATCGTTCAGATATGTGCACAGAGCTCTGTGAATCACAGACACCAGCTCCCATCTTTTTCATTGTTTAACGTTTGTGATACCCTCTGTGTTAAACCCAAATCCACCACATTTCACTCAACTGATAATTATACATCTTACCAGTGACCAGTGCTGGAGGATTTTACACTGAGGCAGGAACAGAACCAGTACATTTTTACTCTGCTTCTATTTACGCTCCTCATAACTTTCCATCTTCCTTTGTTTGTCTCCATGGCTGGCTGATATAAGCACCAGAGGAGTATCATAGTATTTCCAAGACTTAAGCACACGGTCAGCTGCTTTGCATGACACAGTAAGCCCAGCTATGGTTTTCAAGTACCGTTTGAATGTCCAGGCTCCCAGAGAAGAGCTTGCAGCTGCTTTGCTTCTCATTAGTCATATATATATATATATATATATATATATATATATATATATATACACACATACATATATTTAAATGTGACACTAGACTGACCTAAACCAAGCCAAGCCAAGCCAACCTGAGCTCGTGGTTAAGCTTTCTCCCCGCTAACCACGAGCTGTGGCCAAGTATAAACTCTGCCAAGAACCTTGCTGCAATGGGAGAAAACAAACAAACTGGGAGAATCAAAGCAACTCCCTCTCTGGGAGCCAACACATTTAATAATAATAATAGTAGTAGTAGTAATAGTAATAATAATAATAATAATTTATTATTTATACTCCGCCCTTTGGCTGAGTTTCCCCAGCCACTCTAGGCGGCTCCCAATCAAGTGTTAAAAACAGTACAGCATTAAATATTAAAAACTTCCCTGAACAGGGCAGCCTTAAGATGTCTTCTGAATGTCAGGTAGTTGTTTATCTCTTTGACATCTGATGGGAGGGCGTTCCACAGGGCGGGCGCCACTGCTGAGAAGGCCCTCTGCCTGGTTCCCTGTAGCCTCACTTCTCGCAGTGAGGGAACCACCAGAAGGCCCTTGGAGCTGGATCTCAGTGTCCGGGCTGAACGATGGGGGTGGAGACGCTCCTTCAGGTATACAGGACCGAGGCCATTTAGGGCTTTAAAGGTCAGCACCAATACTTTGAATCGTGCTCGGAAACGTACTGGCAGCTTTGGAAAGCTATAGAAAAAAGAGTGCAGCGCATCCCACTTTCTTGGGAACTGTATGATGCAAAGGTGCTATTGGCTTAAGGAACTCACGTGACCTTTTAATTTTAATTCAGTTGGAGAAGTATGCAAGCATAATAAAAGTGGAAAGTAATTATGATACAGTAAAACCCGCAATGGCATTTGTTTTTTTAAAAATATTTTATCAGGAAAGCCATATATGCAGAGGTGGCTGCCTGGGAAGTAGGCTTCTCGAATAGCATCAGTGGCTTCTGTTTATCAAACCTGTTGTGCCTTGGGAGGCTTTGGGGACACACTCTTCAGGAGGCAAGGCTCTCAAAAAAGAGCCATATGATAGCAGGAAAGTCCTGGTTCCATAATAGTTTAACCAAGTCCAGTGCAGTCTAGCGAGTAAACTATATAAAAACACTACAGCCACACATTTTATCTCCTAGACAGTAGGATCCTTATGCAAAGATCACTCCTGCTTTTCTGAACTTCTGGTTGTCACGAGAATCAGATGATTTGGATGGGTGAAGATACGAACTTAATTTGTTCTGGAGGTCCATTCTTAGCCTGAAACCGTTCTTAACCTAAGGTACCACTTTAGCTAATGGGGTCTCCCGCTGCCGCCGTGCGATTTCTGTTCTCATCCTGAGGTAACGTTCTTAACCCGAGGTACTACTTCCGGGTTAGCAGAGTCTGTAACCCGAAGTGTTTGTAACCCGAGGTACCCCTGTATTCAAATCCTGATAAAGTTTCTTTTCAGTAAGATCCCCCTCTTTCCCAAAAGGGTAATCCCTTTGATAATATTTGAAGTCTAAAAGAATTTTACATGCATGTTAGGAATTTTTATCCTTAGATTTAACTAATATAGCATTACTTGGCCTAGAGCAAGGTATTGTATCGAAATAAAGTTCAGATTTCAAGCATGGTGAGCAATATAGCACAACCATCTCTGTTAAGATACTCTGAATGTAGTAGTAAGTACATAACAAAGGATGTGGGTGTGGGTGTGATTTCGTTATTAAATTTGTCAGCCCAGGGCAACCCACAGTGACTTATAATCAATCAATCAAACAAACAAACAAACAAACAAACAAATAGACAATAAACCCCACATGCATACATTAAAACCAAAAGGAAAGAGAAATAAATTAAAAACATCCCATCCACTTCTAAAAGGCCACAGATAGTTAAAGGTCAAAGGCCTGGGTATGGAGGAAAGTTTTTGGTTGGTGCTATATATATATATATATATATGTGTGTGTGTGTGTGTGTGTGTGAGAGAGAGAGAGAGAGAGAGAGAGAGAGAGAGAAATTTACATAAAACCTTTCATATGGTAACAAAAAAGTTTTGAAATGCAGTAGCAATACTTGGCTCTGGACAGTGGTCTGTTTGAATCCTGCTGCCACTAAATGGTGAAAAGGCTGCCACATTTTGAGGCCTAGAAATAAGAATTTTGTAAATTTGATAAATTCTGATGATTTTTTTAAATTGAAAATTGCCAGTGATCACTTTAACAGCATGCTTAAGCTGTACTTCCATGGTGGCACTTTAATGCTGCTGCTGCTGCTGCTGCTGTTGCTGTATTGATGCCACTCCATAGAACTTCCCAAAATGCAAAATGTTGGTATCAAAAGTGAAGACATTTGATTCTCTCATACTATTTGAAACCGCATGTTCATGGATATATTGCCAGAGTCACTGTCAGTCAAAAAATTTTTGTAAACTGTTATGAACATCTGAATTTTTAAACAGACCAAAAAAAATGGCATTGCTGTTTCATTGGGGGTTCTCTCCATCCCCCACCCCCCTGGTAAATGGTACTGAGTATCTTTATGGTGTGACAGATCTGGCAGATACGTGGTAGATTATCTCAGCGGCCCAGATGGAGCGTCTGCCGCTTTATCAAGCAAAATGGTTGGACAGTTGCAAAGTTATGTGAAAGAAGGCTGCCATTTTACCATCCTGTTCTGCCAAACTAGCAACTGGACGTCCCCAGCTCTTGGCTTCCTCTAGACAGAGCCTTAAGGCCTGGTTGTCTGTGGATGCGCATTCGTGCAGCGGCGCTGCCAAATCGAAACTTCAAAAATGAGAGGAATTACCGGACTGTGGTGTCCTCTATTGCTGAGCCTGCAGGGTGATGTGGAATTAGACATGACCCTACAGCTGCAACCAAGCCACCTCCTGACAGCCTCCAGCTAGTTTTGATAGAGTTGTCCTTGCTGGTCTTACCATCTGGGTTCTAAGCAGCAGCACAATAAACCCATCTCCAAATGACACAGAGCGAGAACCAAAGGAGAAATAACTTGCAGTTCTTCTGTAGGGATGTTCAGGAGGCTTAGTGAGTATGAAATATGTTGCCGTTTTAGTCCAATTTTGCGATCCTGATTTATATTACCCCATTCTGTACTACTTGTCCCAAGGACAGGCTCCCACTCCCACTACCTCTGGTTTGGCTTCCCCTAATGTAATAATTGTCCTTTAACTTGGCATAAAACGATAGGACCATTTTGCCAATGCTACTGTTGTAAGCTGTTGTTCAGTGTACAAGTGATTGAGTTATCCCGCTTCTACTGAGATCAGCATAAAAGGAGGAGAGAGAGTGGTCATCAGAACACCATGGGATTTAGAGCGACGTTGTTTGTGCAAGCATGCAAGTTAAATGGGAAAGAAATGCCGTTTCTGGGACTGCTTCCATTGGCAAATCTACGATCCACGTTAGAAAGCTTGTGAGAAGTAAAAGATACCCAGTCACTTGGGAAATGAAGAGCTGCTATTGTGTAAAGAAATGTTCAAAAGAAGAACCATTTTATATAAATACAAACAGATAATTAGAAATATAATGGAAATGTAGAAAATTCAAGTGTCTGGGTGGTAATGCTACTTTTAAAATTTATATATTTAATCTACAAGTTTTGGGGGGAAATATTTGACTAGGGTGTCTAAAAAAAGCTCCTCAAAGGTTTATATTAGCTTTAATTAGATCTAGACAGAATTCATTATTTTTAATGGCTTTTCATCAGTGAGCTGAAGTCATTATTTGAAATGTACAGTAGCAAGTAGCAAAACAAGCTAATGGGGGGGGCCTTCTATTTAAAGTCAGCCTATGTATTAAAGAAGCTATTATTAAAACTACAGTTAGAAAGATGATTTTATCTGAACTATGAACACTGGAGTTGAAGGTCTAAGCAAGGATTTTTCCCTCTCCTCCATATGGAGGGAAGCAGTATTTTTTTAAAAAAGGAAAGAAAAACAGAAAAACAAAAGTTTGAAAAGAGTTTACAGAGGACTTGGAAAAGAAGAACAGCCTTGGTATATTAGGCCAATGGCTCATTGAGTGAGCCCGCTGCCTCCAGCTGCCGGCTGTGTGCTAGACCAGCCTATATTGAGGACGTGGTCTGGAAACACATTTTTTGAAGCATAGCATGAGGACTAACAGAAGGACAACAAAAATGGATTTCACTGGCCTTTACGGTCGCTAAGAGACTTAATGCTTCGAGCCTGGAAGGATAAATACTCACCAACTATTACTCAATGGTTTGAAGTCCTTAGTGCCCTTGCTATATTTGAACATATTCTCTATAAACACCAACTTCATTTGGATACCTATCCCAACTATATCAATCTGTATGTGTAAATTAAGATGGATGCATTGATGCTTATAGTATTTGTAATGTGAGCGGACAGTGTGAGCAGTGGGATGTTTGAAATTCATTTCTCCTGCTGCTTTTTAAATGCTTTATTATTTTCCCATTCCCAGCTCCATGTCAGCAGAATGAGTTGATGGCTCCACCCCTTGATTTAAGGCAGGAGCAGAACCACTTTATTATTAAGGTTTTATTACTTTATCTATTACTTATCTTATAAACTGCCTTTAAGAGTGCAACTGCCCACCCAAGGCAGTTTACAAAATTCCATAAACATATAATAATATACAGAACCTTCATAGAATCATAGAATCATAGAGTTGGAAGAGACCACAAGGGCCATCGAGTCCAACCCCCTGCCAAGCAGGAAACACCATTAGAGCTCTCCTGACATATGATTGTCAAGCCTCTGCTTAAAGACCTCCAAAGAAGGAGACTCCACCACACTCCTTGGCAGCAAATTCCACTGTCAAACAGCTCTTACTGTCAGGAAGTTCTTCCTAATGTTTAGGTGGAATCTTCTTTCTTGTAGTTTGGATCCATTGCTCCGTGTCTGCTTCTCTGGAGCAGCAGAAAACAACCTTTCTCCCTCCTCTATGTGACATCCTTTTATATATTTGAACATGGCTATCATATCACCCCTTAACCTCCTCTTCTCCAGGCTAAACATGCCCAGCTCCCTTAGCCGTTCCTCATAAGGCATCATTTCCAGGCCTTTGACCATTTTGGTTGCCCTCCTCTGGACACGTTCCAGTTTGTCAGTGTCCTTCTTGAACTGTGGTGCCCAGAACTGGACACAGTACTCCAGGTGAGGTCTGACCAGAGCAGAAGTTTAAAGCCACTTTACACATACCCTTAACGTTGAGCAATAGCTATGATCATTCATTAAATGAATAAAGGTGGGTTGAAATAAAAATGTTTAAAAGATTTCTCATGATATTGACAAAGATGGAAACACACAGGTTTCCTGGGGGTGTTTTAATGCTTTTCTTTTTTTAATTTTTTTTTATCAGAGTGCTATTTACATACCTTCCAAGTGTCCCAATTTTCCAGGGACAGTCCTGGAATTACAGAAGCCAGCCTGGTTTCAGATTTGATCCTGGAATGTCATGATTTCCTTTTCCCCTCCCCTCCATGTCTCAGAGAACAATTAAAAGTGGTGTGTGCACGTGTGTGCTGTTTTTAACATTTTGAATACCCACTATTAATTTTCAAGAGCATTTTTTAAAAAAACAAACAAACAAACAAACACCCCAAGACAAGACGAAATGCAAATGATTGGCAGTGTCATCCTGTGTACTTTCTCAAGTGTCTAATGCTGAAGAAATATATATACGGTATATAGTGTAGAATGGCAATCGTACTTTGATGTAGGGAATAGGCAATCAATACCTGCAAGCTAGAAAAAGCATTCTATTTCCTCCCCTAATGATATAGGGCTGTTGTTGTTTGGCAAGACAATGGTGTTTGGAGCATGAGACACTTAAAAAAAGAATTAATTTGAAATCTGTAGCAGAAGATCAGTTTCAGTTAAAACCGCACTTGAGTGTTCATGGACAGAAAAGCTAGCCGTTAGCTCTAAACCTTCTAGCACTTAGCAGTGAATAAATGGATTCCATTGCAACCAAATGTCTTGATTACAAACTTAATAAAATATCTATCTTTATGGCTGTTATATAGTTTTGAAACAACAACAAACATTTAAAATTAAAATGAAGTCCCAAGTATTTTTTCCCCTTATTTTTGACACTTGATGGCGGGGGGGGGATTCAACATAGTTCTGAGGAGATTGCCCTGTCAGTGCAAACATTTATGCATTTATGATTGAAAGGTTTTCCCTCTCCCGTGTGTTGTTCTTGGGGTTATCCAGACAAACCCCCAAGTCAGTTGAGGGGGCATGCAAAGGGAGGAGAGAGGGAAAGCCCCATTGCACCAGCAGATATCCCTATGTGGGCTTCTGCTTGCTGGACTGGTTAGTTGATTCCGCCCCTTAATATTTGTTAGCTGTTACAAAATCTTATCATCAGTTGGATTTGTAAATGGCTTTTGGTTCTGATCTTCATCAGTAGGCGTATTTTTGGCTTTCTGTGGGTTAAAAGTTTTAAACTAATTAAGAAGTGGTGGTGGAATGTTCTTAGAAGTGAAATTCCAATAATGAAACAAAGTATATTAACAGTTGGAGAATACCTTTGTAAATACAGTGATAATTTATGTCCTGTGTGGGGCACAGGGGAACTAACTGAAGTGTTCATTTCATAACTCAACTTTACCATCTTGGCTGAGCCATCACTACAAAGTGTTCTTCCTCTTTTGAAACAGGTGCATATGGTCCTGAGCACTGGGTCACTTCAAACGTGGATTGCGGAAGAACTCAGCAGTCTCCCATAGATATCGTAGATCATCAGGCACATGTTGGAGAAGAATATCAAGAAATACACCTGGTTGGTTTTGATAATGAATCCTCTAACAAGACATGGATGAAAAATACCGGGAAAACTGGTGAGGACTGCATGATTACTTTCTTATGGTTGATTATTTGCATTCTCTAATGGTTAATTATAAAGGCCATAATTATATGGCCGGCCATTCATCCACATGGCTAAGAACTGCATGGAGAGTGAACATGTGGCTGTGCCCGCTGGCCCCACTCCATCAGCTTTGCCGTACTGGGCTTGACCCTCATCACCATTCACACATTGGGAAAAGGACATGTACCGGGGGAATCCTGTGCTGTGTGTGTGTGTGTTTGTTTGTTTGTTTGTGTGTTCCCCATGATGTGGAAGAAGAAGAGGAGTTTGGACTTTATACCCCACCTTTCACTCCCCTTAAGGAGTCTCAAAGCGGCTAACCATCTCCTTTTCCCTTCCTCCCCCACAACAAACATTCTGAGAGGTGAGTGAGGCTGAGAGACTTCAGAGAAGTTTGACTAGCCCAAGGTCACCCAGCAGCTGCATGTGGAGGAGCGGGGAAGCGAACCCAGTTCACCAGATTATGAGTCCACCGCTCTTAATCTCTACACCACACTGGCTCCCTATGGGAGCATTAGGAACCCTATGGGAGGCTCTCTTTTTACAGATGTTCCCCTCCAACAAAGGGATGGGGTCATCAGTGTGGCTCTACTGTCTTGCTCCATGAAATTCTTAATTGCAGGAGTGAACATCAGAATAGGAGCTACAAAGATCTCCTTTTATTGTTTTTCTCAAGTTGATTCTCAATATGATGCCCAATCTCTACTGTAAATATATCCCTAGTTAGGTTGCTAATCTTTATATTATATAAGGACTTGGGGGAAAGACTATGCAACCCAATATCAAGGAGTGTACGACAGTGAAAAGACCAAAGATGTTCTGAAAGTTGGGGGTGGTTGTCAAAATAACTGTCTATAGTTGTGAAATCTTAAGGGATTTTAAAAAACAAAAACAGGCAGAAATAATATTCCTGTGTTTTTTAAAAATAGCTTTGTTATTGCTTGTTTCTTTCATTGTTATATTCATAGGTTTTCGTCATAATGCTTCAGTCGCACTCAGTTTCCTGTGCTGTCAGGTGTAAAACCTTTAATACAAGATGCTTCTGGCCTTGTTAGTGACCCACAAGGGGCTTAAGCCAGGTGGCAAAATACTCTTGTGTCACCCATACTATTGCCTGGAGAAAGCAGTGGCTTTTAGGAATATAGAGATTGGTTGGTCAAACAATTAAAAAAACCACCATCTTGAGTTAGTATTTTTTTAAAAACAGAAGTTTTATGTTTATTTATTATTAAAGATACTATTAAATGGCTAAATCTGAAAAAAAGATTTTTCACCTGAGATGCAACAGCTGCTTAGTTGTTTATACTAAAAACTACAGTGAAATCCCATACCTGTTTCTGCAGAAATAAGTCCCATTGAGATAAATGAGGTTTACTCCCAGGTGGGTAGATGCTGGATAACATACCCCATTGAACTCAGCAGTAGGCTCAGTAGAATTGCACCATTAAGCACACGGAACCAAAGTAAACTTTGTAGGAATTGTATACACTGAATTGCAGTGAAAGGGACAAAACTTTAATGTAGGCCATTAAATCATTTTTTTAATTATTTCGTTCTACTTTATTGATTACTGCTAAATATATTTGTAAAAAGAGAAAAGCTTTAAGGAGAATAGTTGTTAAAATAAATATCTCATTTTTTCATGATAAAATTCAAGGTCACTTACTGTTCTGCCTATTTAACAGAAGACCAACGAAGTAAGTTTCATGAGAGAAGAATTATGTATATATAGGAAAAAAGTTGTGAGTATAAGGGTGTGGCTGATACAGAAATAAATAACTGGAAAACAGTATGGACTCCTTATCAATGGAAGCTTTTTCTCCAGTCCCAAAACATTCAGCATTCTGGGGCCACTGATTTGCTCAGTTCTCATTGGGCAGTTTTTGAAGTCTTAGCACCCCCCCAACCCCCCCCCCAAGCCTCCTGGTATTAATGTGTGTGCATTAGTTCTGTATTAGAATATAGGATATGCATGTGTCGTCACCCCCACTTTCATTCCTCATAACTATGTTGTGTGAATAGAACTATGTGGAACAATTCTCTTTAGGTCTGTTCATAAGCAAGTTCTGCTTAGTTCAGTGAAACTTCCCCTTATGTATTTGTGCATAAGATTACAGCTGTAGATTTCCACTCCTAAGGTCTGTAATACTTTAGATCTTTTTGCTTGCACTTCCGCTCTCCAAGCAAAGCCCTGAGCTTCCTTTCCATATAGAGCTTGTAGGCTCAAAATGTTTGCATGCTCCCCACCCCTGCTTTTGTAATTACAGAAACTGCTATTTGGATGTAGTGTGTGCTTCTAAATATTTATAGAAACTTCTGCATTAATAAAAATCCACCTAAATAGTTTACTGCTACGTGCCAGAAGAGTTTGCATCTGCATTGGCTTGAGTCCTTTTTTCCAACAAAATTTTCTGCAGTGGAATTTTAATAGGCAGTCCAACATCCATTTATACAAGGGTGAGAGGGCAAAGAGAATATTTAGTGAAGCCACATGGGGCTTTCTGGAATCCCAAGGCATCAAGAAGTGTGAGAACTGAGCTAAGGAAGGTTCTTACCCTTATTGAGTGCTTCAGGTAGTGCAGGACTGTGGTCAATGCAGCAGGTTTTTCTTAGCCCCTAAGCAATGTGAAATGAAGTCCATGTCCCTGCTGTGTGCATTGAGCAATACTAGCTTGGACATAACTGGCATGTTTTACTTATTCTGCCCCCCCCTTCATTGATCTGGTAGTTCAGTGATTTCACTGCAGCAGTACCAAGTTGGCACTTTGATTTTATTTTTAACTTTTCTGCACTGCCTTTTGAATCATAAAAGAGTTGGAACAGACCACAAGGGTCATCTAGTCCAACCCACCATGGGGCTTGAACCTGTGACCCTGAGATTAAGAGCAGGGGTAGACAACCTAAGGCCTGGGGGCCGGATCCAGCCCAATTGCCTTCTCAATCTGGCCCGCGGACGGTCCAGGAATCAGCGTGTTCTTACATGAGTAGAATGTGTCCATTTATTTAAAATGCACCTCTAGGTTATTTGTGGGGCCTGCCTGGTGTTTTTACATGAGTAGAATGTGTGCTTTTATTTAAAATGCATCTCTGGGTTATTTGTGGGGCATAGGAATTCATTCATTCCCCCCCCCCAAAAAAATATATATAGTCTTGTCTACCACATGGTCTGAGGGACGGTGGTGCGGCCCACGGCTGAAAAAAGTTGCTGATCCCTGGCTTAGGTCCTCATGAAACCTAAATCCGGCCCTGATTAGGAGGTGAGGTGAGGAGGTTGGTGCAGTGTTAATGCTCCAGCAGGAGCACCAGATTGGCTCCACTGGTGCGTTTGCACCTCACCAGCCTAACTTCTCCTGGCAAGCAACAGCAGCATTACCACAGGTCCAGTGAGCTGTAGCACAGCAACATGCCATTTGCTGCTGCATTTCAACAATGTAGTTATGTGCTTCTCCTTGCCAAAGGATAAGGGCTTGGATCTGATGTTAGGGAACATACAGCCATAATAGAACTCTAAATTAAAACCACTAATAATGAAGGTCCACTGGAGTAAGATTGCTTATTATGTTGTTACCCTAAACGTATTTACTTTGAAATAAGTTCAAAGTTCAAATTAAATCAATGGGACTCAATTCCATATGCAGGCATCCAGACTTGGGGGTTAGGGTATGACAAAAGAGTTAGAACTTTAAGATAGCAGTGTTAGCATGGATGGAAAAAGAAGGTCTTAAAAAATATTGGCAGGCTTTGCCCAGACACATAAAAAAACTGGAACAAATCTCCTTTCTAAGGTGGTAGGTTGATGAAGTTTGAAAATTCTAGGTTTGAAAGGTTGTCATGTAAACATGTTTAAATAGGGAATTCCAAAGCCTGGTAAAATTTCCATACAATAACAACAACAAGAAGAAAAATAACTTAAATGGGGGAAAGGAGACATGGATTCACATTTCTAAGCTCAGTATAAGGGGGGCTCATGGCTAAGTGCCTTCAGGTGTGGGCCCCCGATATCAGTGTCCCCTCCATAGTGGTTAAGAGCAGCAACAGGACCATCTGCAGCAAATGCCTATGAACCACCCATCTTTTTTATCCTCCACAACCACAGAGCATTGTGGGACCATCAAAACAGCTGTTTTCCAACTGTCCACTGATGCTGTCCTGTAAATCAAAGCATGAGGACACATAAGGGAGGGAAGGCCTGGTACAGGATGGGTGTCCCCAGGTGGCCTTGTAGTCACTCAAGAAAGTTGGGTGCTGACACCAGCTCTGCTTTTTCCAGACCCTCTAAGGCAGGGGTCAGCAAACTTTTTTCAGCAGGAGGCCGCTACACTGTCCCTCAGACCTTGTGGGGGGCTGGACTATATTTTGAAGGGGGGGGAGAACAAATTCCTATGCCCCACAAATAACCCAGAGATGCATTTTAAATAAAAGGACACATTCTACTCATGTAAAAACACGCTGATTCCCGGATCGTCCGCGGGCCAGGTTTAGAAGGCAATTGGGCCGGATCTGGCCCCTGGGCCTAAGTTTGCCTACCCATGCCCTAAGCTACTGAACGTAATGGGGCCCTTTATATGTCCAGCTGTCCTTTGTCAACAACAAATTGTAGCTTTTTCTGGGTTGAATATATGCTGCAGTGGTACCTCAAGTTACAAACGCCTCAGGTTACAAACGCTTCAGGTTACAAACTCTGCTAACCTGGAAGAGTTACCTCAAGTTGAGAACTTTGCTCCAGGATGAGAAGGGAAATCGTGTGCCAGCGGCGCAGCGGCAACAAGAGGCCCTATTAGCTAAAGCACGCCTCTAGTTAAGAACAGTTTGAGGTTAAGAACGGACCTCCGAAACGAATTAAGTTCGTAACTAGAGGTACCACTGTATATGGTAATTTATGGATGTAATAGGTATCTAAAGCCATTTGCCACTGTTGCTGTATGTAGGTTTTATTTTATTTGTTTTTTATCTTATATTTTGGAAATGTAC